TTTTTGTGTGTGTTTCGAGTGTGTGAGGGTTGATGATGATGTGTGGTGGCCTCTAAGTGACATGGCATCCTACGTGTACTCTGACGTGGATGCCACGTCATTTTTCCAATCAGCCATGTCAGCAGAATTGGCCGGAATATGTTTTCGAGACAAATTTGCAATCTATATATATATAATTGCTAGCCAACCCCATTTAATAAAACATTTAATAAAAACATTTTCATTTTTCCTCCAAAAGAAGTTACATTTTTTTAAATAATTACTCATTAATCTCACATTTAAGAAGGTTTCTTTTAGTTAAACTTAATTAGTTAATGACTAAATTAAAAAAGTTTCTTTTAATTAATTCCACATTTATGTTTCTTATTCTCATTTATATATATAAACGTGACAGTCATTATTGTTGTGCAGAAACTATATATTATTATTTTTTATTTCATTATTAAGCAATTAAAGTTATAAGAAATATTAATAAATGTATTAATTACAAACATTATAATACATATCATGTTACATTACAATATAAAAAATGAAATTATTTTTTTTTAATTTAATTTCCAGCCATACTCAATCAAACATATAACTGCAAAATGATAAGAAAGATTAGTTTCATAATTAAAATTAAAAATTTAGCTCCCCAAATGGTAAAACCTTATAAATTAGTAGTATAGATACATTTAAATGACATATAATTTATAAACTTAGACTATACGCATAATAAGATGAATTAAAAAAAATTAATGAATTAAATAAATAAATTATTATTATAACACAGTCTCTATAATTATTATAGCAAAGTCTATATTGTCAATATTATCATTTAAAAAGTTCATTGAAAAAATATATGTATAAAAATAATCCATATGATCATAATTAATAGTGCAAAATTAACTATCTTTGACTTTCTATTTGGCAGTAATAATAAAATATTTTATATTACTACTATTCAATAAAATGCATGATTTTCTGCATATTTGATTATCGCAATCAACATTCTTTTTTTATAAATGAAAAAGTGTGTTGAATAAATTGTCTCATATTTTTCATTAAAAAATATAACTGTTGGCCGTGAAAAAAAATATTATTTCACAATTATAAATATAAATATGATTAATTTTCATTAAACAATTCCTCTTTAAGAAAAAAATGGTGGGACAAATTTCTGCATGATTATAGCATCAAAACATATCCAAAACATCAATATTTTAATGCATTAAAAACATACTTTCAGCAACAGAAAAGTCATATTAAACGGAAATTGGCAAAGTCAAAAAATGAGAATTGACAAGACATTGTATGTAATGGCAGATTGTTGCATAATATAGAAATATCAAGCATAATTAATAATCAACAAAAAAAAGACAAATCTATATGAAAAAATCAAAATTAAAAACACAGCAAATTATGTGGAACATTATTGAACACTATACAATATAGAAAGAAAAATAATTTGATTTCCCTATCATTATCAACACATTCAACTTTTACCAAGACATCTGCCTTTATATTAAAATCGATTTTTTTGCGTAAAAGTTTTAAAAATAAAAATACCTACAGATTCTTTTAAACATTAAACAAGAAATTCCTAATATGTGATAAATATATCTAAACAGATTTGTTATAAACTTACCTAATATTTCCAAATTTTGAACAAAATACTAAAAATTTTGAAAAACTTCGGCAAAAGACTTTGAACAACTTCGAAAAGCGATTTTGAACAAGTGTTAGCAAAGCTTCACTTACTGATATGATGAGAAACACGACAAAGAATTGAACTATTTAGTTTTCAAAATCTGAACAAAATACATAAAAGTTACATATGTATGTTATAAACAGATATGAACAGATATGTTATAAACTTACCTATATATTTGTTAGTAGAGCAAAACAGATCTGTTAGAAACTTACATATTTTTTCAAACCGTAAATAGAATACATAAAAGTTTGAAAAAGTTCGACCAATGTCATGTTCTCTTCGAAAAACGATTTTGAAAAACATCTAAATAATTTCGAATTATGTATAAAATATGATATATCTTGAAGCTTATTCACAAAGAATTTCGAAAAACGACACAGATCATTGAAAATAATAAAAAATAAAAACTACGTTTAACAAAAAATATTTTAGCTCATCATAGATTTGTAATATTATCGCCCAATTTTGACCGACCTGTTAAGATTTAGCAACACAGATTAAGAAATCGGGACGAATATTTTATTTTTCGATCACCTACTGTTGGTCACAAAACCAACATTTCTCGGATGTCTTTTTTTTTTTTTAATTTTTTTAGCCTTTACCGGGAGAAAATCTCCGGTAAAACAGTTGTTTTGTATTGAATCTCGCCGAGTTTGTCGTAAGATAGGGTTAAGGATTAGGGTTTCAGACAGAGTGAATAACGAAAGAAGCGCTGGCATCGAAAAAAAAAATGGCTTACATCACTCTCAAGGAGTTTATCTCTATTTATAGTCATGTTATCATTGACCTGTTTTATATCTGATTTTTGCTACCCTAAAAAATTAAGTGGACTTCTAATTTGGGCTTTTTTTATCATTCAATTAATATATTTCTTTATGGCCCAAAATTTGCCAATTTGTTCAAATGTCTTAAATATTTGGCACATATCATTATTTATCAACCAAATACAATTATATATTTTGTAATATTTTGCTGGTATTTTTTTAGTATTTTTTTTTTAAATTTCCTATATGATCTATAGTACAAAATACAATAATTATTTAAACAATTAAAACCATTATATGTCTTAATTTGAAGATATGATTTGTAGTGATGGAAATTCTGTTGATAGAAAAACCACAAACGTTTTAAATTTCCAATGATTATATTATGATTTTTACTATTGTTTATATATTTTTATTATTTTTTGTTCTATTGTTTTCCGTGCAAATGCACGGGTTAAAAACTAGTACTTATTAAAAGTTGGGTATTTTCTTGCCAAATTAAAAAAGATGAGTTTTAATTGCAATTAACCAAAAGGTTATGATTTTTTCTGCAATTAACCCAAAATATGAAGGAAAGATGAAAAACGAGTAAAGGAAGAATGNAAAAAAAAAAAAGATGTCTGGTCGCGATCCCCGATCTCATATTTATATCTGGCAGGGTTCACGGCGTGGAGTGGAGGCGGCACGGCGTGAAGCTCGTGGCATGGCGTGAAGAGACTGGTTGCAGCGGCGTGGCTCTCCCTCGCAGCGTGAAGAGGTGTTGTCCTAGGCACGGTGTCGCGGCGTGGGACTTGGCGCGGCGCGGGATTCTGGATTGCCGCATCGCGGGGCTTGGGCACGGCGCGGCGCTGGGAAAGCAAGAGCCTCAGTCGAGTCGGTGAGGGTCGGATATACCCTTTGTGTTGGGTGTGATATATCAATGCTTTAGATATATTAACTGTTTTTGGGATTCAATGTTTCTTGCAGGAGTTGTTGTAGGATTAAAGCTGGGGTGTGAATGTGATCATCAATAATGTTATCTTTTATCAGTTTGTGTATGGATAGATTTTTGCACAACCTCAAACAGTTTCCAAAGTCAACGGCTACATGTGTAAAGTGAATTTGAATGTTGACTTGCAAGTTGCAACACATCATCAAATTTACGTTTTGATCACCATTTTCATTTTGTGAAAAGTTAGCTTGTGGGGCTTTATGATTTATTTATTTATTTAAATTTTTTTGGGAAAAATCAAAGAATTTGTGAAAAGTTGTGGCAGTTCTCTTTTTACATTTTATAATATTCTTCTCTTATATATATATATATTTTCCTTTAATTACGCATTACATGTCTAAAATTAATATACACAAATATAATATCATCATATCTATATCCATAATGTTGCTAGTAATGAATTCGTGCAAATACAAACTTCAAATTGCATTACTTAACTCGGCAGATTCAGATCCTATTATCCCATGGGAGCAAAATGAAATTCACCACCAAATTCTCTATATTCATATTTACTTTGGTATAAAAATTACACCTTTAAAACAGCCCATATTTGCATTGAAATCTTCATGATGAAGACAACTGGTGGCATAAAGATTGATAGGCTTTATTACAATTCTTGAACTTTTCCTCTGCAAATGCCTGCTTTTGCAACATCATTTACCATGTGTTAATACAAATTATAATTAATTACAAAAAATATACCAATCATGTTTGTTCTAATTACAATAACTAATAACTGATTATGCATGCATATGTACGTACCTTCGATGAGCTATGGTGATGATCAGGATGCCATTTAAGTGCGCAAGATCGATACCTGTAAATTAAAAATCTCAAATTAGTTATATAATATAATTAATCACTAATTGGGACAATTAATAAATTCAACTCGATTTACGCGGTTTTAACGTCTTCAAGATTTAACGGTCCGGCAGCAGGCAATCCAAGGGCTAATCGTTCATCTGGAAATGCCTTTTCGAACCATCTCCATGAATACGACTTCTTGGAGAAATATTCAGTCTTTTCATCATGTGTTGGATAATTAGGAACATCTAGGCCTGCAAACACATTTAAAACTTATGTATTAATTAAAATATAATTAAAAATGAGTTGTTGGCCAACTAAACTCGGATCGTTTAATATAATTAGTTGCTTGTGCAATGCATTAAAATTCACGGAACACTTACCAATGACTGGAATTTGGAATCTTTCAAAAACAAATATAATTTTTGGCTGCATAAAATATCAATAAATAAATTAACAAAACANAAATTCAATTCAATAGTACTGTAACGAAATAGGTTTAGAAAAATAGTGGTGAATTTATACAGGCCAATAAACGCGCTTCTTGAGGAAAAGGGGAGGAGTTGAGTGAAAAAATGCAGCCTTTGCTGGGAAAAAAATAGGGTTGGCCACCGCTACTACTTTCATGGTCGTGCCAAAATTCATACTGTAATTATTCTCATTTTTTTTTTCCCAAGCAGTAAAAATAAGGTAAATTTTAAATAGTCCAACTTTTTAAATTTATATTAAAATGTGACCATAAGTTGTTGATTAGTGGTTACCCCTTTGTCAAGCTTTGTCAAATTTATTAATATTAAGGAAATGAGAGTGGTATTCATTGTGGGACTAAATTATTTTGGAATTTGAGTTGTTTTAGCTTTTTCTTCCGTTTAAATTCTCTATTTTTTTTTTTCCATATTTTGTACACTAGTGCCATTTTATATTTATTAAAGTATAAAAAATGCCTATTTATGCTATTAAATGTTATATTTTTATTTATATTGTTAGATATCAAAACAATTCTTGAGTTGCTCCAATAGAGCCACCATATAGGGCAAAACAGAGCAAAAAGTCACTATGAATCCCCAAATGCACAAATAACTTCAATTAAAATTTAAAAGCTGCAATAATGAAAATTGCAGCATGAAGCTCATCTATTAAAACAAATTTCCTACAGCAACTGAACATGTAAACAGATTTCATCGAGTTTTTCTCCTACAAAACCATTATGTCGAGAAAAATAAAATAAAATAAAAATCCGGTAGCTAATCGAAACCGAGTTTATCACACAAAGACTGATAAGCCGAGCTGCATGCCTTGAATTTTTCCTCGGCAACAACCTGCAAAGAACAAATTAATATTTTGGAGCTCATAAAGTTGAGCTAAATCAAGCGGAAGCAAAAGTTGACATTTCAAAACATTAAAAGTCACATTAAAAACTACTACGTTTCAGACAAAACCTACAATCGCCTATTCAAGTGAATGAAAACCATTCCCCATATTTGCTCGAGATCACAATATAACAGCAGAATAGAAACCTACAGAAATTATGAAATTCTCAGAAAGAAAAAATAAAAAACATAACCTTGGAAGAACCATGATGGCGATCTGGATGCCATTTCAATGCACATGCTCGGTATCTGGAATGTATTAAGTTATTTAGGACCACAGAAAAGGAAAAGGAATCAAAAAAATAAAAAATAAACGAACACATTGAAGAGTACTCACGCATTTTTTACGTCTTCTATGTTTAGTGGGCCTGAAGAAGCCAACCCCAAAGCAAGCCTATCAGATGTCATGTCCACCAAAGGAATCTCATAATCGGATGATGAATCGTTTTCTTCTTCTTCTTCATATTCATATTTTCGACGCCTTGAACTAGAATTTCTATAGTTCCTAGAGTAAGTTGATGAGTTCCTATAATGTGGTTCATCGTCGATTGTGAAGGACCAATAGAAGCCCCTCGTCCCGCCAAATGCCGAACGGAAAATGGTCTCAAATTCTACTTCATCATCATCATCGTCGTCGTCATAGAACTCGAAATATCCTGAAATGAGATAAAGGAGAAAAAAAAAAGTTACAACTGCAAATCACTCTTGGGTTTACTTTTCACAAATACAAACATCGATGAAGGTTTTTGTAGTTTTATAACACAAATGAAGTTTTTTCAAAAAAAAAAAAAAATTGTACTTTTATGAATGTGCTCTTTATTACAGACTAAAAAGGTGACATGAGAAGATTTCAACAATGAACAAGTTCGTATTGGGACATGGAGCGTTAAACATACTCGATGTGTGCGATGTCCTATATCTCGACTTTCCCTTTTTAGATCCATTTTCCGTGAAATGTGGTCTGGACCATGAACTGTCTCGACCAAACGGTTGATCGAACTCATCCGTATCTAACTGCCAGCTCTGCCTCAAAGAATTTATGAGAGAGAGAGAGTACAATGGATAGACAACTGACATTAATAATCTTGACTAAGCTCTTTTTAGTTGTAGTTATATATATTCATTTTCTTTTAGAATTATAACCTTGAGAATTTATAAAAGTGAACTAAACCACTCGGAAAATTTCTTTTCGAAACGCTAAGTCACGCTATCAAACTAATACAAAAGGCAAAGGGAACATAAGTTTATTCCTGAATAAAATTTGCATCATCTACATATCTATATAATAAGAATAACCATTTACCAAAATAGTAGTAAAAAAATATGTCAAAATTTAATGCAGCCTATAAATAGTAAGTTTTATTATTTTTCTTATTTTTTTATTTAAAAAATCATACACAATTAAATTCTACCTTACATTTCGAGCTTTAATTCATTTTATTATTTAAAAAATCTGACTAAGATCTATTAAGTGTGTATGTTTTTTTTTTTTTTGTTTTTTTTTTCTTAAAAACAACGAACAACATTAAAATCTCGGTTTCTATATTTATAAATCTCAATTCAAAATATAACAAAAGGTTTAGAATCTCGGTCTTTATATTTGTGCATTTTAAAAGAAAAATATTGAACGCTAAAAATATTCTTTACATTGCATAATCAATCAATTAATCTTAATTTTTTGAAAATTACTATGTTTATTTTTTATTGGTCCCTCTGCTCATTCAATTTACCAATTTCCATGATCCTTCTTGAATTCCAATTACATGTGTAAAAACTAAAAAATATTGAACTAAAGATTACCCGAAATATAAACACTGTTGGGTGCAATATGTAAATAAAAGGAAATGAAAAACCAGATCATTATCAAATGGATACAACCTGAAATAGGTGTTCTGCAAATTCACTGGCATTGCGCAACAAACTCTGTCTCCTGAGCCTCTTGCTATACTGGTTAAACTTCTGCAAATAAAAGTTGCATGAAAACAGAAGATTTGACTCATTATGCGTACTTAAAAGTGTTACACCGTAGTACTACCAAAAGTGTTAGAATTCTATTGGAAAAGAAGAATACATAAAAAAATTCGACAAAAAAACACCTCGACTTACATTAGGAAAGTCATTCACAAATAATTTACACATTACATCCACACACAAGCAAATGCAATAACTTCTAAGGCATTCTAATAACAACATCAGACTCCGTATGTATTAAAGTAAGAAATATGCCTCGAAACTATTTCTCATGCAACCATACAGATCAATGACTTTGCCAGTTAGCAGGAATATGAACAATTTTCTCTCTTTAGATGGCAGCAGTTGACTAGTAACTCTCTTTGTCGCTAAATATAATTCAGGCTGAGATACATAAAACACCTTGAAAAATCATAGGATGATAACCGAGACTGAGCTTTTGCAAAAGCGAAATGCAGTAGTCGTACTTCAGGAACAAGAATGTTGGCACTTTATCGACCCTAAATTACCGAAATTGCTAGTTCGAGAAGCTAAAAAGCACAACATTTAGCAGTGCCATCAATCCTAATCTCTTTGCTTTTCTTTCTTTGTTATTACTTCAGATCGTTTTTCACGTAGGTTGAGCTACTAATCCTTCCCCTGTGATTACTAAATACGAGAGACTTAAAGGCACAAACACAGTGCTCAGCTAGTCTATATAGATGGCATAACTGAACTTTTACTCATCCTCCATGCATTCGTTGATTTCTTATCCATTGTTGTAGCCAACATAATATAAAGTCAATTCAAAATAGGAAAAGAAAAAGAAAAACACCACACACACACACATAGAGAGATAGAGAGAGAGAGAGAGGGGGGGAGGGAGAGAGAGCTCACCCTTGGGGAACTCCTAAAAGAACTTGTCTGCAAAGAAAAATAAGCAAAGTGAATATTATTACACTGCAACAACCTAGCACATTAGCATTTTATAATTATTATGCATTATTTCCTTTGAATCCCACCACCCACCCATCTCAAAATCCAATTCTCTTCCCATTTCTATTATTCACAACTTATATTGACAAAATATCTCATTTTCTTTCCACAAAAAGCTCCAATCTTTGCAATCGTCATCGTAAAGAAAGCTTCAACTATTCCCTCCAACCATGAAAGATAGTCATAAGCCACAAAAACCATTATGATATAATAAATATGCATCAATTGGCAATAACCCAATAGGACCCAAAACAGAAAAACAGTAAATAATAGAACAATATAAATCCTAAGATCACCTAATCCATTTTCTTTCCCCTTCAAACAATCGATATAACCTAAATGATCGAAGTAAAAGCATTGACACTCTCAGCACAATACTAACAAGAACAAAAGAGACCTCCCGCCTGCCAAATTTCACATTTTTAACCTTTTAACATAAAAGTTAGCAACTTGGCCTATTAAGGACCAAAAATTAAGGTCCACAAACCTAATTAAATACAAAAATGGTTCTTACAGAATCCCAGTGGGTACGCCTTCTGCGCTCCAAAACAGGGGTGCAGTGAAAAAAACGCGCCCTAGTATGAAGATGGTTGGCTCCAAAACCAATTTTTGCTGCCAATCTACTGGCCTTATTCATTTCTGCAAATCATTATACTGAATACATGCTGCGAAATAAATAAATCAATCAATCAAGTGAATTCCTTTTGTCTTTCGTTTTTATTTCCTAATATTGGTAGAAAAGAATGGTCACCCTGAAGTGAAGGACGGACTGAAAAAAGGAGCTGAGTCAACTCGGACAGGGAACAGCATAACGGGGTGGGCCTTATTATATTTTGGATCTTGAATTTTGTTGATTCCTGAATTTTTCTTGATGGGTCATTGAGCTAAGTGTGCTAAAAGCTAATGTGTAATGGGTTTTATTTTAGTTTGGATAGTTAAGTCCAAGTTCTAATTTTCAATGGGAAAGATAAGAAACAAAGAGATAAGGAAAAATAAA